AAAAATACTTTTTTGGATTTTTTAGATTTTAGATCTATAACATCAGAAAAAATTAGTAAAATAAAAATTTCAAATATTAAAAGATTTTAAAGTTAAATATCAAAATTAATTGGTTGAAGAAAAAGATTGAAACTTTCTATTTGCAAATTAAACCTGATATGAAACTTAAAAATATGTATCATGATAAATCAAAAAAAAGTTTAAAAACTAACAAGATCTTTGCAAAAAAAATATAATAAAACAGGAAAATAATTTTGAATATTTAAATTTAAAAGTGAATAGGGCTGTTAGGGATGAATTAGACGAAACTGACGAAGAATACTTGGTAGAATAGGTTTATAGCGATTTTTAAAAATGAGAATTATTTATTTTATTTGTAACTTTAATGGCACAAATACCACTAAATTTTAAAAATGAACTATTAACAATAATTTGGCATATATCCAGACAAGCGCCATTTTCGTTCATTCTAATTAATTCGAAAAAGCAGGAGCACCATGAAGTTTTGACATAAATACTTTAAGTTTGTACTGATTGGCATAAATGAGAATTTTGTAGTTTTTTTTATAATAAGAATAATAATAAGAATATCAAATAAAATAACAGGGAAAATTAGAAAAAATATAGGAAGAACAAGAATATGTTTGTTTCTTTTGAAAGTTATTACAAAACAATTTATAAGGTTTTTTCTGTCTCCGAAAAAGATGATCTAGCGTTTGTGGCGTTCTGTCATGGATGCGACAATATTTCGATGGTGTATAATAATAGACCTTTCCCGTTATTGATGATCTCTATTACTCATGCGCAAATTCTACTTCCGCTTAATCTCATCAACATTTTCCTACCTTGAGTTCCAATTTCATATCCGCAAATGTCATTGTTTTTGCGTTTGATAATATTAGTAGGGAAGCCAGTGACACTTTTAGGTGATATTTGTGAAAGGTAAAATTACAAATATTTCGTTCATTCTTACCTTGTAGAACATAAAAATAGTTTTCTGTGCAGCGATTAAGCCCTCGACGATGACGTTTTTAAAAAGCCTGTGTAGAAAATGATGTTATGGAACTTTCAGATATTATTTACATCAAAAGTAAGTAGAAAAAAGTTTGCTGTCACCTTCTTTAAATTCGAATCACAACAGAACCTTCTTGCTTGCCGACAAGGCATTTCACCGCTAGGTCGATTGCAACGTATTTCCATCTTTTATGAGGTAAGAATTAACTATACATTTATAATTTAGCACTGTGAAAATGTGTACCAAAAAAGATTCACTGGCTCCCTACTATATAGAATTGATGAGTTGTTTAAAGTAACGATGACAAGGGGTAATTGTCGTAGCCAACCCAACAGTTGTAAGGTGAGAATAAAAGAGAGAGAGATAGCAAAGGGTGTTTTTGAAAATTACTAGATTTAAAGGTCCCGCGCTTTTTTCGCGCATGAATAAGGCGAAATTGTCGAATAATGGGAAATCAACGAGCCTTACGTAGGGATAAATCTACTACTCGCAACACTGTTGGAGTAATGACAAAACGGTTTATGTAGATCCACTTATAAAAAAAGTTGGGGGTTAAAATTTCTTATATTAAAAAAAATATTTTGAAATTTTCTAAAAAAAATTATGAATATTCAAAAATGTACCACATTGTGTACATAAAAATGGTCACGAATTGATGCGACACATTTTACAACCTATTACAAGAGTATGACTAAATATTAATCCATACTTCCATATCTCAGTAGAATACTGTGTCACCGAACATAAACAAGACAAGAAGGGCCACTTTAAGCTCCTCCCCCAATTTGCCTATCTCACTCACTCTCTGATGCCACTCTTCCTTGATGTATTTTGGCCGATTTCAGTATTTAGATGCGCGATGTGACATAACGATTATACAGTTGGTGGTCGTACGTATCGAGCGAGAACATTGGCGATCGGATATACTTGGTGTGTTTGATAATTAAACAAACAATAATTATTGTAGTTGATTAGTGACAGTATTTCCATAGTATTATTCCTGCGGGGAGATTTAAATATAACAGCTATATTAATAAGTGTTGTATGTGAATTTTGTATCTTAAAAATATAAAAATGCCGGTGATGTGTTATGTAGATGCCTGCAACAGTAAACAACAAATGAGGAAGATACTTTTTTCGATGCCCGAAAGAGAAAGATAGGTAAGATAGTTTGCATTAACTACCTTGTTTACTAACTTATAGTCGCAGGTTCGGTTTCGATAAAATTTTAATTAAAATTAGAAACGCGCGTTAGAGTTTGTAGTAGAGATGTGTTAACCGTGAATAATTCGGTCACTAAGATCCAATCACCTAGAAGTATTGAACGATCGAATCCCGGCCGGTCGAAATGATCGAATCACTACATCCTTCTCACAGCACAGATACTCGAACGAACGAAATATGTTGATTGTATTGTGAGTTGCAGGAAGGGTGGAATGAATGAATAAAATGGTGTGTTGTGGGAATTAAATGGGTGAAGCGGTGTTTACATTAGCGCGCGTTTTAAAATAAAATAAATCATTGACAGGACGTTAGATTGAATCGATTAATTAAACTGGCAATATTATTGACACACGAAAACGACCCACACAAATAATAAAATATGAATTATATTCTATCATTCATTCTAAAAATGTACCGAAAATGTGTATTCGAATGATCAATCGTTCAACCATTGGCAACCCCTGTTTACTAAGCTTACGGCCGTCTTGAACAGTTTACAGATCCAAAATCGGAATGATTGAACGATTGATTGAAAAGATTCGGTCATTTTAGAAATCAATCACCGATCGATTCGATCGCCGGGAAGTGATTGAATTACCCATCAAAAGTTTGTAGGTACCCATAAATAAGCCAATTTAACCCCGGAACAATGTTATGGTAGTATAAAAATTTGCGTTTTGCACTTTCCTGAAGGAAGTTATATGAAACATAATTTGAAAACTCATCTACTTTGTTAAAAAATAGTAAGTTCCTAATTATAAATAATAAAAGTTTGTGTATTTTCTGCTTTATAACATGGTGTACTTAAAGTGTTTTATTTTTTAATAGACAAATTTGGCATGTCGTGTCAATTTTTTAATCTCGTTTTGTGTTCCTAAAATTCCAAACCTGATAATTAAATTGCATTTTACATGCTTATTTAAGCTAGATTTATCAAATTTTTAGCTAGCTGAATATGTGATAATACAATTACAGGCCACTTTTTCAATTAAAAAAAAAAAAAAAAACGGTTGTATTATTGTAGATAGAATTATCTTTACACCTATTTTAATATTTTAGATAATGTTAAAGACCACAAATACACCTCTATTCAAACAGCAAAAGGAAAATGTTATTAAAATATACATAGAAATGAGATTGTTCCAATTACCGGTTCTTTTACTGCCCAATTCTTTTTTTAGTCTCTATTTAAGTTTAATAAATAAATTCTATCGATACTAAAATTCATTTCTATCAACCCCCGTATCAGTCGCTCGAGAAGTAACTTGGACGTCGCCCAAAAAAGTGTCCCCGTAAATAGACGAGACAACACGAGGCGACTTGATTACTCCGAATATGGCGGCTCACTTCTGTAGGCCACACTTCAAAGTACCGACGTCAAGTGATCCTTCTTGTCTTGTTTATGTTCGGTGACGATGTCAAACAGAATAATACAATTTCAAAAAGTTTGTTAAATTAATTTTTTTACTACCGAACGGTTTTCTCAAATAAATCCAAAATTTAATCATGAATAAAATTAATAGTCACCCAAAGCCTCAAAAAATATCAAAATATGAAGAAAAAAAAATTACATTATCGGTCATGTATAGCTGACAATACGTTTACATGGCAGCTCTATATCCCTATTATACCTATTTTATTTTTTTAAATATATACCTAACAGAACGCCAACTATGATATACTCTACTCTAGCAAAACGTTCCATCAAAGAACAATACCAACTCTAATTTACGAATTAAAAAATAAAACTTTGCTATTTTCTTTTACTTCCTTTGGATACGCCCAAGTGGTCTCCAAAGTGTCAAAAATATACTAGCCTCTGCTTACATGGTTTTTTGTATCCAGTTCAATATGAAGATCAGTGGGTTTATACAAATTAGACAATCTTAATTACTAATTTTCTTTAATAAGCGATGTTAATTTGAATGAGTAACAATACATTTTTCTTTACAATATTACTTTAAGAGTTGTTGGGCAATTTTTTTTAATAGGCAAAAGTAGACAAAGATAAATTTTCATAATAAAAAATAACGTTCGTTTTAAGCTAATAATTTAATTGAATTCAAGCTTCGAGTCATCTAATAATTCATGTATACTTTCAGCTCATCTACTCAAATCAACTTACATAATATTTCGATTTTGTCACTTTCTTAAAAATGTTCAAATAACGTTAACCTATCGTAAAATTTAGGTTAGTAAATATGAAAATAATACCAATAATGATAGTTGAAAACAATTTTATTTTGTTACGATTAAATTTTCCGATGAATTTAATATTTACACTTTTGACACTGCTGCTATAATAAACGCACACTATAAATTGTCAACCAACGTTCCAAATTTTATTCAGACTCGGTTCCTTTAACCGATTTACAATATTTAAGATCATTTAAGGAAATGTACCTTTTGACTGACTTGATTCAATTTTAATAATTTATAAAGAGTTCTCTGTATTCCATATTCGCTGAAATTGAGCTAAAAAATCATATGACTGACACAATATCACACAAAATTCCCAATATCTTCTATTTTCCAATACTTTCTACACACACCTTCAGAATAATTTTATAAAACGAATTAAGCAACACAATATCTTCTCTGTACAAATTAATTAACACAGTTTTTGTTTTTTTTTTGGGAAAGGCAACCGGACCTATATCAGTTCAATGAAATTGATTTGATAAAAAACACCATTGGTTAAAGTCCACTTTTTTAACGTTAATACACCCCTTATAATGATATATCCGCAGCAGTGTTGCCATCAGTTGCTATCTTGCTCTTGCACATGATTGGCTTCGCTACTATTCAGTGGTTCTACCTTCGGCGAAGGGGGTTTGAACGCTGCTGTATACGGAAATGTGACCTTGCACTTCTCCGTGAAATCTTCTAATTGAGCGTCGCAACTACCGAATTCACCAGTTCTAAGGGAATTGAGGATTTCTGTACAAATCTGTAAAAGAACAATATATAAATACATACGGAGCCAAACATTTATTTTAATACTATGAAGATTTCTTTAACCGCACCTAACCTAATGCAGATACAAAGTTTGTAATATATTTTTTTACAAGTGACGCCTTAAAGTGGTTTGCTCAACAACTCTATAATACAGCTTCAAAAGAACTCTGCTAACACCAGTGAAGAAACGGAAAGTTCTAGGTGTCAAAGTGTCCGTGACACGAATTTAAAAGTCGATACCAGCAAACTTTAATTGCTAATGCCGCAGTAAAGAACTTCCGGATGATGTAATAAAAAAAATGGGATTTTTATACACCGCAATTATAAGCCAAGATTAGAATTAACAAATATATTGCTTACTAAATCTATTAATAAATCCCAAAAAAGATAATATTTCAAAGCCCACCCCTGTTGGAACCCTTAGCAAAATAAAGAAAAACTAAAATATTCGATCGGTAAATTAACGTCTAAGAAGGAAACCCAATCAAAGACGGTAAAAATAAAACATATCACATAAATCGGAAAAAAACAAATGTCAATAAATAAGTACCAAATATACAGGGTGTCCCGAAATTATACGGTCATATTTTAACAGCGTAATCTACATCCTAAAATAGGAATAACAGTTCATGTAAACATAGGTCCGAAAACGTTTCATTTTCGAGATACAGGGTGTTACAAGTGAAGTTCTGATGGCACATTTTTGTAAATATTTTCTAAAATTTCTTTAGTCACCGGTTTTCCAAAGTAAATAAAATAAAATTTCACAGGCCTACTAATTATTATTTACACTTTCGAATAAGATAACATCAACTTATCATGAAATTTTCAAATGCTTTTTTCTTGAAAATGGTGCGTCCTAGCGAGATGCAACAAAAGTAGCTTTATTATAAAGAAAACATTGGTTTTCCAAATTTTATAGTCAAAAATGTTAAAAACTGTCAACAAAAAAAACTTAGGGCAATTTTACCCAAAGCCCCTCCTAATTTACCCACCTATGAAGATGATTAAAAACTGGGGTTTAGTCCATACAATAGAGCGTAAAAAGGTAAGCATTTGTACCAAATTTCACTTAGTTATCTTTAAACGTTTAGAAAATATTTACAAAAGAGTGTCATCAGGACTTCACTTTTAACACCCTGTATCTAGGAAAAGAAACGTTTTCGGACCTATGTTTAGATGAACTTTTACTCCTATTTTAGGATGTAGATTATGCTGTTAAAATATGAACGTCTAATTTCGGGACACCCTGTATAGGGGAAGATATATTAGGCAGCTCGCTAATTACGGGCAAGTTTTATTGATTGCACAAATCCTGACTAATCGAATAAAATCGCCGTTCAATTGTGATAAAAATATTTTTTGCGTAGTACTAAAATGAAACCTACACAGTTGTGTTCCTTACATAATTTTCCACTAACAATGATAGTTTACGACATTTCCGGTCTGTGCAGAACTTTTTCGTCTTTAAAAAAATGTAAAATATTACATTTTTATGAAACAGTTGGTTTTTGAGAAATAGAACATTCTATCTCAGTAAATATATGAGTCATCGATTTGATCGAAAGGTAACCGTCTTGCTGATTCACTAGCCAAGGAAGCAGCCAACCAAATACTTTTTGGACCTGACCCTTTTATTGGCCTGACAAAATCGGTAGTGACAGACCTAATCAAAGAACATTCCCTTGTGAAATTCAAGGAAAGATGGGATGAAACAAGAAACTGCAGAGTTGCCAGGTAGCTCTTAAGTTATCCTGACAACACTGCATCAAACAAATACTTGATAGACAGAATCTGCGCTTAGTCACAGGCATTCTGACTGGTCATTGCCAAGTAAGAAAGCATCTCTATATCATGGGGCTGTCAGAATCCGCACTCTGCAGAGGGTGCGAACAAGAAGATGATACCATCGAGCTATCCTTTACGATTGCTCGACGCTCTCATTTATTAGAAGATTTGTGTTCGGCGAGTATCGGCTAACACCGGCCGATATAAGAGAAAGCACCTCTTGGCGACGTTGTCAACTACATTAAATCTGTAGGCTGGCTCACGAGCTTGGAGGTGCCTATCTTCTCAGGAGGATGCACAATGGGCCTAATAAGGCATACGTGCCGTGGGGTAACCCACCCTCCACACATTACAGATAGAGAGATGAGCGCCTTTAACAGTACTAAAATATTTTAAGATACTACATTAAAAACTTACACCGTTCATGCAGAGTAAATTTCGACATACGACACTCTTTTATTTTTGAAAATATGTCGGTATATGCTGCGAATGAAGTAAAGAGAAAGGTTGTAAAAACTTTTTGGAGAAAGAATTATTGATCTATGATTTATAGTTTTTAACTTATGTTTTTTTGCTGAATTTTTTTGGAGGGCTTTCGAAGTTAATGTTGTTAATGTGACTAGAATACCGTATTTTTAATTGGTACATACATCTAAACCGGGAAAAAATCGAATGCGATTCTATGTAATATAAACCTTTCCAATAGCAATTTAACATGTTAAGCACCACAGTAGAATCTGAAAATCCGGTCCATTAGGACAAACCGTTAATATTGTCTAATAAAACTGTCGGCAGTGAGACATAGCAAGTGCCAAATGAAATGTGACACGCGCATTATACCTCCTGGCGCTTAACGTGTTAAAAGGATCGTCTGTAGGTGGGATTTCAGCAGCTGGTCGATTCGTGTTTTAGATAAAAAAAAAAGTTGTAATTCATTTAATGTCCTGACTTCTTTTTGTATAAATATAATATGCGCGTTCAAAAGACAGATTTGGCAAACCCATCTATCATATATCCTTCAGATTGTCAAAGTTTGTAAGTAATGCATCAAGAGCGTTTTTTTTTTCAATTTTGCAAAATGCACTGGCAGTGTTACACCCAGTGAGACAAAGTATTGGAAATAAACATAAACTAGGTCAGTAAGTAGAGACATACAAATCGAAAAAAAATTTAAACTTCGTGTTAAGAAACTTGGTGATTTTGCAACTCGATACAGGGTCGGAAACATTGTCAAAAATCGGTCAAAAATGTAACATAGCTGCAAATTTAATATAATTTTCATTTTAATATTTAAGATCACAAATTGAATTTGCAGCTACTTCATTACTGGTAATTAACATTATTTGATTTCATTTAGCAACCAACATGCTTGCAAAATCACAGTAGGGGAGACTGGTGCTACTGTGGACACGGGGCAACAGTGACAGTGCCATTTTTATTATCAGAAAACGTTTGATATATGCGCCACTGCATTGCACGTTCTCTTCTTATTCGAACTTCAATCATGTAAAGTTTGGCAGCCCTGCTGAATCTAGTTTTGGCGCTATAACTGTTAATGTGACTAACTTCATTTAACAATTGTGTTTTTGCAAGTGAAATTATTGTTATATTTTGAAGGTAAGTTATAGTTTTTAAATGGGAATTGTTGTGTTTTATAACAATGGCATTTCTATTTGTAATTGACAAATAGTTGAATGATTATTTAACCTTGAAATAAAAAAATACGAATCTATGTGTAAAATATGCACTTGGAATTAGTGTGGACAGTTGTTATGGGGCTAGTGTGGACACTAACCACACTAGCCCCAGGTTTTTGATAGATGGCATAAATACTAGATCAAAATACAGTTTAAATGTTTAGGATCGTTTTCGATGATGATAATAATAATAATAGTCATCCTTATTTCTAGATGGTTCGAATCTATGTTCACAAAACTGATCAAGCTTTGATAGATGAAGGGGCAGTTAAGGCTACACCTTGAGAAAAACTGCAGAAAAATATGGCATCAAAAGTCTATGCTACATAAACGTGTGAAAATGGCAAAAAAGAACATGTCCTCCAAATACCTGACGCAGATGATTCAGGACAGTCTGGGGATGAAGAAGATTATGTGACTATTGCCAACGCTAGAGGAAATAAATACCAAATAAGGCAAGTATTTAGCGACTAAGAGGAAAATACGCTTGTTAATTACTTTATGAAAAAGCTTCTAATCACATGACATATAAACAAAGTCATGAAATGGCCTTCCAGTATGCCACGGCTCTAACAAAAAACAAACTATCCAGATGTTTGGAATAATAATAAAATGGCTGGTGAAGACTGGATCCTCGGATTCATGAAACGACACCCAGAGTTGTCTTGTAGATCGTCAGAAAACACAAGTTTCGCTCGTGATGCCGCTTTCAATGCAACAAATGTCGGTCAGTTTTTCGACAATTATATGCAAATTCTAGATAGTAAAAAATTTACCCCAGATAGAATCATAAACCTTGTTGAAACCAGTAATCCAACAGTTATGCAGCATCCAAAAATAATAGCTCCCAAAAGCAAGAAGCAAGTTGGTGCAGTCGCTTCACAAATCCCACCAGTTTCTATTTTCCCTCGTGTGCACATGAAAGACAAATTTACAGATGAGGCACCTATTGACAGCATGGGACTAGCTCATAAATCAGGGTACATGACCAGTTAATTATTTTTGAAGGTTCTGGAACATATTAAAGAACATCGCTTTTTTTGCTCAACTAATCGCCGATTTTTGATATTGATGGACAACCATTCAAGCCATGTGAGACTCGAAGCAATCAACTTTGCCAGAGAAGCCGGAATTCATCTGCTATCATTTCCTCCTCATTGCTCACATCGAATATAGCCACTTGATGTGTCAGTGTTGGGCCCATTCAAAGGATACGTTAAAGTATCTATGAGTGACTGGATGCGAACATACCCTGGGACACTTAGCGACATTGCCGCATTGTGTGGCAAAGCTTATTTCTCAGCATTCACTTCAAAAAACATTTAGCACTCCTGAATTGTGGCCACTGAATCGTCTAGCACTAGGAGAAGTGTTCCAGCCATACGAAGTCACACATCAGCTTGCTTCTGTTACATCGGACATAACTGAACCATCGCATTCCTCTAGAATGCCTAGAAAGCCAACAACCTGGTCCATCTCAAATCACCCAACAAGTCACACAGGTGCAAGTGGAACAAATGTCAACAACACCGACACCGAATCCAATGATTTCTCCCAAACAGCAGTTAAAGACTGGTCAAACATCTTCGGTGGCATCCAAAGCATAAAAGACAGCTCGAACTACCAAGTGCACAATCACACCAGAGCAATGTCGGCCATTACAAAAATCTCAAAAGAACCAAAAGCTTTCGTAAACAAAACAAAATCTACAATCTATTAGAAAGGAACTGAAAGCCCAAACCTAAACAAACTAAAGTTGAAGTTTCTGACAGTGAGTCATACACAAACATGATTTTGGAATTAGAAGATGAAGGCTTGAAGATAAAGAGAAAGACGCGGTCAATTTCATTGGTCAAATAATGGATGAGATGATGAGTAAGTTGCCGTCGGAACGTTCATATTGGTACGGTTTGCTACAAAAAAGCCTTCAAGTACTACGTTGGACTTGAGGAAGAGACATTTCAGGGAAATGAGTTTTCTGTGAATTTCTTGCGCAAGAAAGGCGAAAAATTAGTTTCCCGATGTGCCAGACTTATCACAGATAGATCGAAGGGATATCGTTTCAATATTGTCAGCACCAACTTCTTCAGTCACTCAAAGGCAGGGCAAAATTTTTCATTTCAATATTAATTTTCATGGATATAATGTGTATTGATCAATAAAAGTTGATTTAGTAGATATTTCTTTGTGTCCACTTTAGCCCCTATAAAAATACGCCTTTGTCCACTGTGGCCCCACTCCATACCTTGGTAAAATGTTAATTAGCTTGGAAATGGTTGCTATTAATTTCTCTAACAACAGAAGAAAAGTAGTCTTATATCCTTGTAAAGATAATGTGTAAAATTGGTCCATTTTGCTTTATAAAGCTGAAGTATTTTTTACTAATAAAGAAAAAGCGTCCACATTAGCCAGGTCTGTGAAAATTTGCAATTCTTTTCGATGATGGCATGATGCATTTTTTATAATTTACAACGATTTTCTTTTTTTATTTATTTAAAAATGTTTCGTAAATATTGATTGCTAATGCTATTTATAGGCATGCTATTAATTTTGCTACAGCCCACGACGCCGTCGCCAAACAGACGAAACTAGAATTAATACTTATTATGAAAATTTTTACTATTGTAAATTTTGTCTGTTTGCCGACAGCATTGACTAGAAGAACCATTTTTTCTGCTGCTGAAATAATCAAAAGCCCATGTCATCTATGCTTGCGTATAACACCTTCCTCATTTTTGTTTATAGTTTTTTTTGCCAATAACACACTCCATTATTTAAATACATATACTTAATGCATGTGCTTACCACCAAAGACCTATGTGAAATGTATTCTGTTAGCATCAGTTAAAATATTAGTTGCCAATAATACACTAACTTGCTTTTATTATTATTGGAATAGCACTCAATGCCCAGACAAGTCGAGACGTACGCAGCGAGAGCCATAACGGACAAAATTCATAATATACAATCTATGTCATAGGCCAATAATTCTTTTATCAAAATTTTTTCAGAACCTTTCTCTTCATTTTATTGGTAGCATATACGGACATATTTTCAAAAATAAAAAAAGTTTGTTGAATTTCGAAATTTACTCTGCAAGAATGGCGTTGTAAGATGGAAGTTTTTAATTATTTTCAACAAAAAATATTGTGGTATCTTAAAATATTTTAGTACTGTTGGAGGCGCTCATGTTACTACGACAAATATTTAGTGAGATATGATGTTCTATTTGTTAAAAACCAACTCATAAAAATGCAAAATTATACATTTTTTAAAAATAAAATCTGCACAGGCCGGAAATGTCATAAACCAAAAATTCATGTGAAAAATAATACAAGGAACCATATAATTTTTATTTGGTTCTACGTCGAATTTTTTTTCTTCGAGAAATAAGCGAGTTAGCGATCTGGATTTACTCGACTAGATCCTATACTACTTAGTGACCCACGAACAAACTTTACGGCAGACCTAGCAAAGACCCGATCTTCTCTATCTTCTAAAGCGCCACTAGGGCCGCTATTTATTAGAATAAAATATGATATTGTTACTTCGGAAAACAACCTATAGCTAGAAACAAAGTGAACAAGATCCCAGTCGTCCTGATAATAGCTCTACGTTCTCTATCGTCTAAGCCTGGATCAGGAGGTTAGTGTTAAATAAAACTTTTTTAGTTTGAATAAACCCCTTTGAAATACTTCCCAATTAATCTCAGATCAAACCAGTAGCAACCCAAGTTTCCTATCTTAAGCAAAGCCCTATAACTTCAATTAAATTCTTGTTACTATTCCCAGGAAAGAAAAACTAACATTACAAGTTAATTACTCTCTCTTCTGAGATTATTTAGGGAGCAAAAATAAAATCTAACTAAAGAACAAATGATTTTCGGATAACACGCAAAATGTTAAGAGTAACTCAACGTACTCTATCGTCTAAGTTAATTCCCAACCAACCGTGTATTACAAAAATATAAATAAACATTTTAAGTTGCACTTACTTCAATATTTACATCATATTTATTGTCCAGATTAGTAGCCAAACTGATGGCATCGCTCTGCCTCTTATTGTCCAATTGGTACATGACTTTTGCTCCCTCATACACGGCGCCAAGACTATTCGAGTTATTTTCCAAAAATTCCTTATTTAACCTAGAAGCATCTTTGCTGTCGAAATAAACTTTGGTCTCCTGCGTTATCACCTAAAATTTTACAAACTTAATAATACTGACAGACTCAAAATGGATAAAGTTAAATAATATGAATAATGATTTACCTGTTCTACACTGGGGTCCCACGAGCCTTTATTTTCTTGTATGAATTGATAAAAACGGATAAGACAACTGTGCAGCTTTGGATTCTTAGGGTCAACTTGATAAGCCCTCTTCAATGATTGTAACATTAAAAGACCTCTTTCTATAAAAAAATGAAAGATGAATTTGAATGTTGACTTCTAAGTAAAAAATAGGACAATTCTTGTTAAACATTTTTCTGACTGTACTTACTTTTTCTATAATACAATTCGAACGCCATCAAATGGGTTTCTATTCTGTCTTTGGCTAACGTTTGCAAAGGTTGAAGAAATTTTATAGCTTGTTCTAAAGGGTCATCAGCCTAATACAGAGAAAAATAATTTTTATTAAAGTACAGAGTGTCCCATTAGTGCGTAATTGTCCAATATTTCAATTAGTGTTATAGATACGCAAACAAGCTTCAAATAATTATATGGATTTAAAAAAATACTTATTTTTAGATATACAGGGTGTTGCGTTTTTGCCTGCCAAATAAAAATGTATATTTTATAAATGATTTGGTAATATTGTCTTAAACCATAGAATTTTTTTAAAAAATATTACAGGGTTACCAAGCAATTAACTCTTTTATGAAATTAGAGAATGATGCAGATCTCAAATTAAATTATCATAATTGAGATAGGTTAACAATGATTTAAAAATTGTTTAAAATACAGACTTATAAGGTACTAAGCTGACGAATAGTAGTGATAGAACTGGTTTATTTTATACAGAGTGTTTTGAAACATGTCTTAAATAGGACCAATTTTAAGTTCAATTTACTCGTTTTTTTTTTTAAATGCAACACCCTGTATATCATTTTGACAAAAAAATTCCTTATAAATTTATCTATCCAATGATAAATCAATCTGATGGGATAGAAACTGTGAGGGGTACAATAAGCCTAGAGCTTCAGTACAAGTGGGCTTTGAACCACGCCCTAATTCAGATAGATATATAGATCTATCCAATGATAGTCAATTACACATATACAGGGTGTCCTATCAGATCATAATTGATCGATAGCTGTTTTATTATTGGAAATACGAAAAAAAAAATAAAACAAAAGTTGTATGACCATATTTAACAATTATTCTTAAATATACAGGATGGTCCATAAACGAGGTGCTGACCAAACCTATTTTGTTAATCAAAACTCTCTGCAGGTAGTTATATATTTGATTATTTTCACATCGTCACACAATTTTAATTGACTTTGCTGTGTTGTAAACAGGGTGTAAAAAAAAAGTGTCACAAAATAAAACGGGGGGGGGGGGGTAGTATGGGCCAAAATATGCAGAAAAGTCTTAATAAACATATGTCCGCAAATGAATGGTTTCAGAGATACGGAGTGTTTTGTATCTTTTTTCATTCTCAAAAACTTGCTTTTCTTATCGGAGTCTACCGATGTTTTTTCATAGATACTATTTGCAGTTATTATTTTGTTGTGGGTGAATAATTTTATAAATTTTCGTTATGCCTGTTTACACTAATATTGAATTAGCTTACATGCATTTTATGTACGGCCGTGCAAATGGCAATGCGAGGGAAGCGCTACGTCAGTATTTGAACATCTCATTTAACTCTATGTTGTTATTGATTGTTTATAAATATCATTGTTTTTTTATAATAATAAAAAATTGTTATAAACACAAAATGGTCCGTATCTCCGAAACCGTTAATTTGCGGTCATATATTTATTAAGACTTTTCTGCTTATTTTGGGTCATACTATTCACCATTTCATTTTGTGACACTTTTTTTTTAACACCATGTATAAAGTGTGTCAAAATGCGAGGTTACGATTTTCTCCATGGAATACTCTGTATATTATACAACCAAGTAATTAATACCGGGTATTCCATATAAAAAAATTAAGAAAATCTCTAACCTCGTGTTTTTACACACCCTATATGAATGAAGTCAATTAAAATTGTTAGACGAAAACAATCAAATATGTATAACTACCTGAAGGGTGTTTTGCTTTAAAAAAGTAAAAAAGTATAGGTGTACAACTTTTATATTTAAAATTTCTTCGTTTTTCAATAATAAAACAGTTATCGATCAATTACGCACTGATGGAACACCCTGTATAGGTGTTATTAGCTAACATGTTGGTATCGTTGGATAAGCAAATTTGTAAGGCATTTTATGCGAAAATAATATACAGGGTGTTGTATTTGAAAAAATCGTGTAATTTGAACTTAAAGTTAGCCATATTTAAGACATGTTTCAAAACATTCTGTATAAAATGACCACTATTCGTTGGCTTACTATCTTATAAGTCTATATTTTAGACAATTTTTAAATCATTGTAAACCTAACTAAATTATGATAATTTAATTTAGGATAATCATCTAATTGCTTTACAACCCTGTAATATTAAAAAAAAAAAATTAGGGTTGAACACAAATCATTTTAAAACTGAAATAAAATACAGGGTGTTCAATGTTAAAAATTTACATTTTAATTTGCCAGGCAAAAACCCTGCATATCCAAAAATATTTTTAAAATGCATATTTTTTAAATCGGTATAACTTTTATTTGAAACTTGTTTGCGTATCTATAACAGAAATTGAAATATTAAACAATTACGCATTAATGGGACACCATGTATATTTTAAAGAAACAATGAAAAATATTTCAAAAAAATATTGATTTTCTAAAAAAGTTAAAATAAACTAGAATGAAGATATATAATGCTTGGCATTCTATATTATACTCTTCACAGTTTAACAGACCCCCGTAACCTCCTATTTTTAATTAATTTTTTACCTGAAGATTTCAAGTTGATATTGTTTTTGTTTTCGAGTCAGGATTTTTTAAATTTCAACCCCTCTTAACCCCCCATTTTAATTAATAGGCTTCGTCCCCTTATAGAGCTTGACTTTCCTGAAATTTTTTTCGTTTTTGAGTTGGATTTTTTTAATATTTCACCCCCCCTTCACTACCCATTTTTATTCAGATTTTTTTTAAATAAATAGGTTAACAAAAAATGTGACATCGGACGGGTGCACATTTTTAAAAGTTGTTAAAAATTTGATAAGACGGATTTTGAACATTTTTAAATTAGGACGAATATTAAAAATTTTCACAAACTACAGTGTGAAGAGTATATATAATAGGAATATTCGCAAGTTTAATAAAAAAGAAAAAATAGTAAAATAAAATAGACCATAAACCACAAAAAGGACAAATTTGCAAGACTGACAAAAATAAAAATTAAATAAAAAATAGTTATATGGTTAAAGCTTACAGTTTAAATTGGTAAAAAAGAGGAACACATAAATAGGTATGACACTAAAAATGAATTCTTACAAAAATTAATAAACAAAATATTAAAACTTTTCTAGCAATAGAATAACGTAAAACTAATTTTTTTTAAAGTTTTTTTTTTGAGTTTTGACTGTGAATGGTGCTCTAATTTTTGAAAACAGACATTTTTAAAATTAATACAAATTTGCATATAATAAAATAAATTTAATTATCAGAAGAGTCCCTGCGGGGCCCCAAATATCACCGGGGGTCCTCCGTGCTTCGCACCGAACTGCCCTATCATAGCTAGTGGGCTCGACATTCTTTAGAAACATTTTTTTTGTGAATCACTCTTTATGATCCAATTTCAAAACAGAAAATATTTAACCAACTTAAGATAGAGGTCAATCTTTCGGTGGTCGCAATTTGGGCATATTGAGTTAATTACAGTAGGTATCTAAGAGAATTTCTAGATTTTCTTTGAGTAAAACGACCTAAGTATCAAGACGCTTTTCCTTAAAGAATAATACAGTTGAAAAATATAGGTTATGTATAATTTCGCATCTTGATGATAGGGTAACTTTTGTCATTATAAAACAAGGATCAACGACAAGAAGTTTTAACCTGCATCCACAGCTTTATTAAGGAATAACGTGAATTAAGTATGCCGGATTTGAAAAGTAAACATACCCTAGCAAGTTTATCAGGAATCAATTCGTCAAGTTGAGGCGTGTCAGCTTCAACATCACCTTGTTGCCTCGATTTGTGATGTTGATCTTTTTTCACCTGTGCCTCTCTTTGTTGCGCACTCTCTTGTTCCGCCTTTCTTCTCGCTTTCCTTTGTTTGTTTCTCAATTTTTTCAATTCCGAAGGCGCTAGATTCTCTGAAAACAAAAAACAATATATTATTTACATGATATCGAAAATTTATTGATAACTAAAAAAAAAAAAAAAAAAACATGTTTGTTCAAGGTCGTTTGACGTGTGCGAGCCCAATTGATTAAGTCCAAACATTCTATTTTTAATGCTTTTTTGGGAAATAAGATCTGTAATTCTTGTGACAATCAAAAGGTAGAAAATAAACTCAAACGTAATAATGGCTGAAGAAAAATTCTGCCTGTCTATCGAGGTTGTCCGAATTTATTGTAATCGTTCTTATAAAATATATTTTTTCTTTCAAAAGGAAAGACTTGTATTTCGTGCAAAACTTTTTAATTAATAAATGCAAAGCGCTTTCGGCTTATTAGCCATCATCAGTGCTTATCTACAAAAATTGTGGATGTAAACTTACAATTTAAAAAATATAAATCTGATTAAGACTTTTAAGTCAAGAGTTAAAATTGTATATATACGCTTGTTTGAACAAATTAACAATTAAAAGATACAAACAAAGTGACAAAAATTCAGTATTGGGAATAGTGAGTGTGGGATAAGCCCTTACAAATCATATCTGATCTCCAGAAGCAAGTTAGCTTGTGTGGAATTAAGGAATTATACCACCTTCACCATTCGCACAATTGAAAACAAGTTAACAAATTAGTTAAAATTTAAAGAAATATATATTTGAATCTAGAATACAATAGTTAATATGAAGAAAGTTAAACGAAGAAGGCCAAAGTAAAAAACTGAAGGTTTTTTTTTATATGTACATACATTATAATTATAAAAAAATTTTCTACCTACTGTCCACAATGTATCCAACAAGTTCCTGGTCATCCTCACTCCCAAAATTAGATATTTCGGGATATTTACAACTTGATAGATAGGCAACTTGTAGATAAGCACTGATGATGGCTAATAAGCCGAAAGCGCTTTGCATTTATTAATTAAAAAGTTTTGCACGAAATACAAGTCTTTCCTTTTGAATCTAAACTATGTGCACACAGCTGTCAACCTTTTTTGGTTATTTCAATCTATATTTTTTCTAATTTTAACATGTAAAGTGACATTTTTTGCAATCGCAGCAAGTGTCAAAACGATCTACTTTACGCAACCAGTTGCATAATGTTGAACATTATGAAACTGGTTTCGAAAAATTCATTATGTAACCAGTTGCGAAAAGAAAACAAAAAAAAAATAAACCTTTTTTTGGTTTTAAAATCAATAATATACATTTTTATTAAAAGTTTATATCAAAGAAGGCAAGATTGACTTATTAAAATAGAATTGGGTTAAACTTACAACCTAGTAATAATGTTGTTTTGATCCTTATTTTCATTCCAAATAATAATTAATTAAAATACAATCGACAACAATTACGCACCTTCTTGAAATTTAAATAACTTTAACAAGCAATATAAACACACTACAATAAGTCGTTGGGAATAAATTAATATTATTTTCTATTTGTCAATAAAATAATCAAGTTAATCATATTCAACTAACAATACAAGAAAGTAGTAATATTGGTTGCCTAGATGTCAGTAATTTTTTTAGCAAAACACAATTTTATAATCTTGTGAAAACTAGAAAAAATATTGTATGTAACATGTTACTCATTCATGTTGCGGAGCCTCGCTCTGCTCATCCCGCAAATATTCACTCCTTACATAAAATAAGGCATTTCGCAACTGCTTTTATAAATTGCAATTTAATAGCAAATTAAGGAAATACTGAAAATGCGAATTGTTTTAATGTTTAAATCTTTCAATGGAATGTTTACAAATATATAACATACAATTAAATATTTATAAAGTATCTACTGGATGTCAATTAATAGGCGATCATGGCGCTTATTTATTAAATATTAAGTATGGTTTTCCTACGGCAACAGATGACTTACAGGTCATAATATATTTGAATAGAATACGGGGTAACATATAAAAGCTATTGTCAATTATTGATACTGCATTTAGGTGGGACACCTGTAAAACTGCGGATACTTCTAGAGCTGTATCCTACCCCCCAGATGCCTTCATAATTTATTAATTCCATTTAATTAAAGAAAAGTTGCATTCTTATTAAATTCAAATTCCTTCATTTTACGAAAAATATTTTAGATAATTAAATCTTAACTCTGATGCTTAATAAATAAAAGCAATATTTCTGTTCGCGGGATCTCTAATATTACATGTACAAGCCCAATTACCATAAAAGATAAAAGTTATCCCATGAGAATTCGACCCAAAAACATATTTCTTTTCACGAAGTAATAACCATTAAAACATTTAACGCGCTTATCTTAAGTTCGAATATTAACACTGATTTAGATAAGATATTAACACAAAGTTCCGGAATTTCTCAAGGCACGTAATAAATCTACCAACTTCTTTTATCAACCCAAATTATTTCCCACCGGAGTTACGAAAAATTTACGTCACAAAAACTCATTACAACGGATATAAATACCTAATCCCCGGGAACGCAAGAGGCATTATTATTTTAAATCCAGTCTAATTCAGTTGCTTTTCATATTTAGTTATATTTCAAGTTCCGTATTCAGTACCTTTCCTAAATCGACGCTCTTCCTATTTCCTATCGATGCTCCTACGTCCCAACGATTTATTTCCCGAACGTATTCACGTCTCGCTATTCAACGTCCCGCCGCCCTACTTTTCTACGTCCCGACGACCTATCGCCCGAACGCTGTCACGTTCCACACCACCTAAGTATATCCTACCTTATATCCCAACGCAGTACCATAATAAATAGCTTCCTCTCCGCCACGACGCTAGGCGTATCGACGCAAGGCGACGCTCAACGCTGCGAAGTACCCAACATCGACGACGTCACAACGCTAGATAGAATTATTACATAATGTCTAGTTTAGACGAACCTAATGTCTGTATTTTCAAAGGCGAGTCGAAAAGGTTAATGTAACTTTCTTTGAGATATCACCAGAGTTTCGTTTGAATAAGGGAGGACATTTGCTTCAAAATATTATGTAACCTAATAAACCAGATGGTCTTCGGGCATTCACCCCGAAAGACAATTTAGTTAGAAAGACATCTATTTTTCGATGCGTTAATTTGGGTTATTTCAACAGAACATATAAAAAAATTAATATTTTAGAAATATACAGGAACGTAGAGTCTTAGGTTATTTATGCACACAAATCTACGCAAACCTAGATGGTAAAATTTAATAGTAAGTTAACTAATTGACACTGTTTGTTATCTCAAGGGAACACCCATTCTACTAGGTTTGAACCATAAAGTATATGTGAACATCAACACAGTAAGTTAACCAACTGGCGAATTGGCGCTATTAGTTAAATCCGTTGGTCATCACTTCTATATTTGTCGAAATAAAAAAAGTACCTATTTTAGTATACTTTGCAAATTATTACGTTACATTTCAAAGTATGAAAAATAAAAAGGTTTAAATATATTTCTGATTTAAACAAAAAAAGGGTATGATGGTGGGCGGATACAGAGCCGATATTTTTGATTAAAATTTGATAAAATTTAATAAACGTTGTTGCATAAATAATATTAACAATTAAGTAAAGCATTTGTAATTTTTTACCTTATATATTTCTGGTATTAAGTTGATGCACGTCAGGTTGGCAGATTCTTTAATAATCGGAAGACTTAATTTTTATAATCTATAAAATTCTAGATATTTAATATTTGACATTTTACGGCACATATGATATTTTATTAAAACAATTAGGGAATGACTACTTTGTGCTGCCATATAAGGATCTGATACGGAAATGATTACTTTGTGTTATCAGAAATCAAATAACGAAATGTATTTCATTTTTTATTTAACAATAGATGAGAAAAAGTAGCTTTGTATTATAGCCGTAGAAAAATGAATTGCCTCTTAATCAAAAAGAGTTGATAATGTGCAGTTTTGTATTATTTCCGTTAAAAAAATATTTTACTCGTTACTGGAGTCTTGTTAGGAAAATCGCCGAGACATGTCGATTTTTGATTTCTACAATGTACATTTTTGTATGAGTTGTTTACCCTTAATTTCATCCCTTTCTGGAGGGGAGCAACCATTTCGAAAAATTTAAATGGCATGGGGTGGTGACTGATAGCTCATTTGAAAGGTGGTTTTATCCTCTATTCAACCGTGCAAAAAATTTTGATATTTGCTTCATTACGTGTTGATTTATTAATGTTTAAAAATAATAAAACATCACAAATAGGAAAGCAACTTAACTAACAGTGACCTTATCTAATGGCAAAAAGTCTTACTTCACGTCTGAACCAAAACCGATATCATGCAGGGCCGAATTTTAATTCTAAGGATGGGTTCGCTACGTTAATTTTCGTTATTCTGAAACAATAATTAGTCGAGAATTAATGAAGCAAATTTCAAAATTTTTTGCACGGTTGAATAGAGAATAAAACTCCCTTTCAAATGAGCTATCACTCACCACCCCATGCCATTTAAATTTTTCGAAAGGGTTGCTCCCCTCCGGTAAGGGATGGAATTAAGGGTAAACTATTCATACAAAAATGTACATTGTAGAAATAAAAAATCGACCTGTCTCGGCGATTTTCCTAATAAGAGTTAGATAGGGGGTAAGACTTATGATGCTCACTGTATATATATTTTGTCAATTAAAAAAAATATATAATATATTATATTAAAAAGTGGCTAATTGTAAACTTAAAATGCCTCTCACTTTTTTTGTAATATTCGAAGATGTATAGACAGTTTCCCGCATATTCCCGGTGGTAGTCGAAGCAATATTCATTTGTCCTTTTTCAGCATTATCTATTTAAGCTAGTACTATTTTTTTGAAAAGGACTACCACAAAAATTAGGATCAATTCAACTTAATTTCATGTTCCAACTTTCTACAGAACAGCAGGCCGTTATTATTTTTATTAAGTGACCATGGAAAGCGGAATCCACTTCTGCGAACCCTATATATAACGTAGACAGAAATGAGAAGCAGAAAATGAGATTTTATAGCATATATA